GTCTTGAGCTTAGTATTTATAGGAGGAGTCCTGGAGGGCCAATCGAGGCTGAAAAAAGATCTGCCTAATGGCTTGAAAATATCTGCGTGGTGGAGTCTGATCGGAGCAAGTGGGTAGTCAAATCGGCATTTGGGATCGTGAAGCATGGTGGTGTGACCCCCATAAATCTCGGCAAATCTCAGCCACCGCCCTGATCGTGGGCTCTGCACTATTGGCCGTGGGAACACATTTAATGCTCTGGTCCAGTGGTTGGTGATCTGACCTCAAGCTGTGAGAATGTTTGCGCCTAACCACTCTGATTCCTGTTACCAAATCTTGACTTCAATCACTTCCTTTTTGCCCTCGTGCATTAAATGCTTCTTGCACCCAATGGTTTTGCTGTGGCGGTCAGAGGCACTACTTCATTAAATGGGGCGTGGGACCCTGAGGCCACGTGGCGATTTGACCATAGTATCTTTGGCCGTGTCTCTCATAAACCTCGGCCTCGGCCCATAATGCCGTGGTTGTGAGGCCAAGAAGATCCTGCCTTCGTATTTTCTTCTGCTTTCGAAAAGGCTAGATGTTTGACAAAACGTGGCCGTTTCAGTCCATGAACAGGTGCCACGGCCGAGAAGAGGTCATTTCTGACGACCGTGATTTATCTAGGCATAAACAAGAGGCTTTGTTAAAATATCAGCCACCTGATCTTCACTTATGCAGTAGATTAAATCAATTGTTTCATCCTTTGTGAGGTCACGCAGGAAAAGGTAGCGAACATCAATGTGTTTGCTTCTGCCATGTAAAACTAGATTCTTGGACAACTTGATTGCAGAATTGTTATCACAATAGACATGAGTTGGACCTTCTTGCAAACCACGTAATTCTTCAAGTATCCTCCTCAACCAAATAGCTTGACAGCCGCAGGCTGCTGCTACAATAAACTCAGCTTCGGTGGTTGACAGAGTGACAATCTGTTGTTTTTTGGATGACCATGAAATAGCTCCTACTCCCATTATAAATGCATAACCTGAGGTGCTTCTCCTATCATCTGGGTCTCCTGCATAGTCCTTATCAGTGAAGCCAAACAAACCTGATTTAGCTCCTTTCTTGTATAATATTCCAAAATCAATTGTGCCCTTTAGGTAACGAAAAATTCTTTTTGCTGCAGCCAAATGAGGCACTTCCAGACACTCCATATATCTGCTAATGAGACTCACTGCGTGTCGTATGTTTGGCCTAGTTGTTGTCAGATACATCAGACTTCCTACAATCTGTTTATAGAGAGTTTGATTAACCTTCTTCTCCCTAGAATTCTTCACTAGTTTCAAGCCAATTTCAGTTGGCGTACACACTGAATTGCAATCCTTCATCTCAAACCTGTCTAAGATCTCTTGAACATATTTCTTCTGTGAAATAAATATTATGGCACTAGATTGTACTACTTCTATACCAAGAAAATAGTGCATCAATCCAAGATCAGACATATCAAACTCATGCATCATGGATTTCTTAAAATCATTAAACATGGCCACATCATTAACTGTATAGATCAGATCGTCCACATACAAGCACACGATGAGTATCTGCCCTTCCTCTCATTGTAAAGAGTATGCTCATATGGACATTTTTGAAATCCTTCTCTTGAAAAATATGCCTCTATGCGTCTGTACCAGGCTCTGGGAGCTTGCTTTAGCCCAGATAAAGCTTTTTTAAGCCTGTTAACTTGTTTTTCCTTCCCTGGCTGAACATAGCCTGCTGGCTGCTCAACATAAACCTGTTCTTGCAACTCACTATGTAAAAACGCAGACTTCACATCCAGCTGGAAGATAGGCCAAGAGTTATGTGCCGCCATTGAAATCACCAATCGGATTGTGTCATGCCTTGCCACTGGCACAAAGACTTCTATGTAGTCAACGCCGTACTCTTGCTTGTAACCTTTCTCCACCAAGCGTGCTTTGTGCTTATGAATCTCACCCTTCTCATTCAGTTTTGTCTTAAAGACCCATTTGACACCAATCGTCTTGTGCCCTTGTGGAAGCTCTGTCAACTCCTAAGTATTGTTCTTCTCAATAGATTTGATTTCCTCATCCATGGCTTTCTGCCACTTTGGTTCTCTTACGGCATCAGAAAATAACACAGGATCAAAATATGCAAACAAAGCAAAGTGAACAAGTGGATCATCATCACTTCCTTCGCTTCCACTAACGGAATCAAACACCCATTTAGAATCTATCATCCATGCAGGCTGCTTCCTTAAACGTTGGGGTCGTGCACTAGATGAACTTGCAACTTAGGCTCCAATTGGCGGAACAACTGGTGCTGGAACAGATGAAGAAGTTGGTGCTGGAACAACTGACGAAGTTGGTGCCGAAATGCATTGTTGTGGCTGCTGCTGTTCCACGCTGTCATCAAAATTGACTAGAATGTTCTGCTGCTGCAGAGAAACATCATCACTCCAATTCCATGTCTTCTCTTCATCAAATACAACATCTCGGCTAATAATAATCTTTTTGGATGCAGGATTGAATAACTTATACGCCTTGGAAATTTCACTTATGCCAAGAAAGACACATTTTTCACCTTTGTCATCAAGCTTCTTCCTTTTCTCGTCTGGAATACGTGCATATGCAATGCATCCAAAAACTTTGAAGTAACCAACTGCTGGTTTACGGCCGCTCCATGCCTCTTCAGGTGTCAAATCACGAACAGCAAAAGTTGGACTTCTGTTCAGTATGTGAATGCCCCAGTTTACAGCTTCCGGCTAGAAATGCTTTGGAATGCAACTCTTTGTTTGCATACTGCGTACCATATTTAAAATGGTACGATTCTTCCTCTCTGCCACACCGTTCTGCTGTGGTGTATAAGCTGTCGTAAGCTGTCGGCGAACGCCATGTATAGCACAAAAATTTTCAAAGGCTTTTGAATTGTATTCTCCACCACGATCAGTTCGAATAACCTTGATCGTCTTCTCTATCTCATTCTCAGCAGCTGCCTTAAAGTGTTTGAATGCATTTAAGGCTTCTGATTTCTCCTGTAAGAAATAAACTCATGTTTTTCTGTTGTAATCATCAATGAACGTTATAAAGTAACTTTTTTCGGCGTTGGAAGCTGGAGTTATTGGCCCACAAATATCCGAATAGACTAGCTCAAGAGGTCTTCTAGCCCGCCATGCTTTTCATTTAGGAAAGGTTTCCCTATGCTGTTTTCCAACAACACAAACTTCACAAACTTCAGTTGGACAGGTTATCTGAGGAAGGCCAGTCACCATCTCTTTATCATGTAGCATCTTAAAACCTCTAAAATTCAGATGACCATAGCGTAAATGCCACAGCCATGCTAAATCATTGACCCTGGCATAGAAACATTTAGGACCATCACTTTGAATATGTAATGGAAACATTCGATTTGTCGTCATGTAAGCCTTAGCAATTAAGCCCATCTTTTGGTCATGAATTTGACAAGCTCCTCCTGTAATCTTGATCTCATATCCCTTTTCATGCAGTTGTCCCAAGCTCAACAAATTTCTCTTCAAACTCGGAACAAATAAAACACTAGAGATAGTATGGACACTATTATCTTTAGCCCAAATTTTGATATCTCCTTTTCCCAAAACAGAAACTTTGCTGTCATCTCCAAATCTCACTGTAGTTGTGAAACTTTCATCTAAGGTAGAGAAAATTGACTTTTCTCCAAACATGTGATTACTGCAACTTGTATCCAAGTACCACACATTCTTTTGTGGTTTTTCCATGGTTTGACACACCATTAGAATAGCCTCGTCATCTTTTTTCTCTTTCTCTGCAAAATTCGCCCTTGCACCCTTTGCTTTATTCATATTTGTGTAACATTCAGACCTGTAATGACCATAATTTCCACACCTGAAACACTCGACATTTGATTTGTCGCATTCGAATCATGATTGCTTGAATGCCTTCGGCCTCTGCTGCTGTTGCCTCCAGAATTATAATAGCCTCTGCTGCTACTGCCGGAATCATGAGTGTCTTTGTTGCCGGAATCATCATTGGATTTGTTCCCATCTCTGCTACCTCGACCTCTTCCATGGCTGCCGCCTCTACCACGTCCTCGTCCACGACCACCACGACCTCTTGCTGTCGGAGAATCAATATTTGTTGAAACTTTCAAGGTATGTTCCTCAGATGTACTCCGATTGATCTTCTGCTCATGGACAAGCAAGGAACTCTACAGCTCGTCAATTGAAAGCTTCTCAACGTTATTTGACTCCTCAATGGAGCACACAACGTAATCAAACTTTGTAGTCATAGATCGTAGGATCTTTTCTACGATGGTCACGTCTTCCATCTTCTCGCCATGTATGCTCATCTTGTTTGCAATTGCCATTGCTTTTGAAAAATAATCATTGACAGACTCTCCTTGTTTCATCTGAAGAGTCTCAAAATCTTTCCTCAGTGCTTGCAGCATTGAGCGCTTCACCTTTGTTGAGCCCTGGTACTTTTTCTTCATGGAATCCCAAATTTGCTTGGAAGTATCTTTTTGGAGAATGGTCTCCAAAATGGAACGATCAATAGCTTGGAATAAGTAATTTTTCGCCTTCAGATCTTTTAGCTTGGATTCATCCAATTTCTTTTGTTGTAGCTCCGTCAACACCACTCCACTTTCCGGCTCTACTATACCGGTTTCCAGGAGAGACCAGTATTCTTTAGACCTTAGGAAATTCTCCATCAACATGCTCCAATGATCATAATGACCATGAAAGCGTAGTATGGCTAGCTGCACATAGTTGTCTGTAACCTTGTCAGACACCATAGTAACTTACTGCTGTAAGTGCAATAATAGCTTACTGCTTTTGTGGGAACTTTTACGTCAGGCCCCAGTGGGGAGCTCTGATACCAGATGTAGAGTTAAACTCAAAATCCAAACACGGGTGAGAAGAGGTTTGGAAAGCGTAATTTGTATATTGATAAAGTTGAACTTAAATAGAACGTTACATCACCAGACTATGCTAAATTCAAGGACATGACTCCTACTAACTTAATCCATTACTGACACCACTAACAAACTACTCCACCACTGGGAGACTCCTAAAGACTTGGTAAACATAACAACGTGCAACATTACTTCCTACATAATAGGATAATCAGTTTATTTAATTAAATAAACAACTGCTGTAACTAGATAAAATCTTAACAAAACAGGCGATCGCTTTCAAATAAACCAAACAAGAGAGCGGGAGGGGTGGTGATAAAGGAAATCCAAGCTGCCCAGAATGAATACGGAGACCAAGATGATGGACTCATGGAAGTTGCTGTGGAAGCCTGCTATGTTTCAGAAGACAATTTTGGTGCGGATCTGGAATCCAGGAATTCGAGATTTAATTCCCGGGGCGGTGGCGACTGGCCCTCAACAGCCACAAAATTGTCATGATACACCTTCTATGGAACTGTCAGGGCTTAGGTCCAAACCTGACAGTCCAGCACTTGGGAACCATCACCAGGAAATATGGGCCCTCCATTGTCTTTCTCATGGAAACCAAATGAAAGACAATGCGATAAATGTAATAAGGCGAAAGTTGGGTTATCGAAATTCTTTCAATTTTGATTCGGATGGTATTACTGGCGGTTTGAGTCTATGGTGGAATGATGATTTGGATATCCAAATCCTTTCTTCATCAAAGAATATTATTGATACGGCAATCATTAGTAGGAATGGGGAATGCCCAAAGCATATCACTTGGGTGTATGGCACACCGTATAGAGTGGAAAAAGATGCTTTTTGGAGGAATTTAGAGTAGCTAAGTGGGGATAATTCCTTATCCTGGTTATGTGCAGGTGATTTCAATGAAATTTTGTGGGGCTTTGAAAAGAGTGGAGGTCGCGAGACGTCTCTTTATAGGCCTCAGTACTTGATGAATTTTATGGATAAAACTGGGTTAATTGATCTTGGGTTCCAAGGCCAAAGTTTCACTTGGAGAAATAATAGATCCGAAGGGGGCTTAGTGCAAGAACGGTTAGACAGGGGCCTGATTAATTGTAGTTGGCAGGAAGCTTGGCCAAACTCTACTGTTACTCATTGCCCAGCTGTGGGATCTGACTATTGTCCTCTTGTGATTGACTCGAGCCCGGTCCTGAAAAAGGTAAACAAGGTGTTTAAATTTGAGGCTTTTTGGGCATCTGAGCATGAAAGTAAGGAGATAGTTCAGAAAAATTGGCATGAAGCTATCGCTAAAAGGAATTGGCAGATTGACAAATGGTGCTTAGGCCTTAAGTGGTGTAGAAAGGGCCTTCAAAAATGGAGCAAGGAAAAGTTTCCAAACAACAACAAGCGTATAGGGGAGCTCATGGAGGCTCTCTCTGAGCTGCAAATGGATTGGGAAGTCAATTATCCCCTTATTGAACCGGTAAAGTTGGAATTGGCTAAGTTGTGGTCCTATGAAGAGAAGTTTTGGAATTAGCGGTCCCGCGTTAAATGGTTAAAGGATGGAGACTCAAACACAACTTTCTTCCATCACTCCACCATCCAGAGGCGTAGAGAAAATCGTATCTGTAATCTGAAACTTGACAGTGGGATTTGGGTTGATATCCGAGGAACTATTGATGGTCATTTTCATGGGCTGTTCACTACTGGTGGTCATAGGGAACTCCAACATGTTCTAGCTAACATAAAGAAGGTGGTTTCACCGGAAATGAATGAGGTCCTGTTGCTTCCCTTACAGGATGAAGAGAGTGATATTGCTGCAAAAGAGATGAGGGCGTTGAACTCCCCTGGCTCTGATGAGTTTCAAGGCTTATTCTACCACACATACTGGGAGTCGATCCGTAATGAAGTTCGAGGTGCGGTTCATGAGTTTTTCAGAGGGGAAGTGGCACTGGATAAATTTAATAGCACAAACATCGTCCTTATCCCAAAGGTCCCAAACCCGGAAGCTGTGAGCCATTTCCGCCCTATCATTTGCTGTAATTTCTCATACAAGATTTTTGCCAAGGTCTTAGCCAATCGGTTCAAGCCCATTCTTGAGCAAGTTCTTACCCACCATCAGAGTGCTTTTGTGCCCAATCGATAAATTCAAGACAATGCAATTATTGCTCACGAGGTTTTCCATCACCTAAAAATGCTAAAAAAGAAAAAGTGTTTTGAAATGGCCATGAAATTGGATATGAGCAAAGCTTATGACAGGATTGAGTGGGATTTCCTTGAGGCTACTATGTTCAAGATGGGCTTTGACAATCGATGGGTGTCCCTGATCCTGAAATGTGTTCAATCTGTGGAGTTTTCTGTGATTATTAATGGTAGTCCAGGCAAGCGTTTTCGCCCCACGAGAGGCCTGAGGCGGGGTGATCCCTTATCCCTTTACCTCTTCATTAGGTATCAAGCTTAGCAGGAATTGACCCATGATTTCTCATATTTTTTTCGCTGACAACTCTCTTTTGTTCATGAGAGCTAGTCAGGAAAATTGTTCTAATATGTTGGCCATCCTAAGAAGTTACTGCCTAGCCTCTGGCCAGCTGCTTAATATTGATAAATCTTGCTGCTTTTTTAGCACAAATTCTCCCAATGATGTCAAGAATAGCATTTGTGAGATGCTGGGAATGGCGCTTGTGGAGAACCCTGGGGTATATTTGGGGTTACCTACCGTTTGGGGAAAATCTAAAAAGGGAGTTTTGAAATATGTAAAAGATCGTATCCTTGGCAAATTGCAGGGCTGGAAGCAGCTCCTTCTCTCTCAGGCTGGGAAAGAGGTCCTTGTTAAAGAAGTTGTTCAGGCTATTCCGGCATATCCCATGTCGGTTTTTAAGTTCCCCATTACTTTTTGCAAAGAGCTTGACTCATCCATTGGGAATTTTTGGTAGGGGCAGAAAAATGATTCTAACAAGATCCATTGCGTAAGCTGGGAGAAGTTGGGACTTGCAAAAGTTGAAGGAGGAATGGGTTTCCGTAACTTTAGTGAATTCAACTTAGCCTTATTAGCGATGTAAGGCTGGCGTTTGCTCATGAATCCTGACTCCTTATGGGCGTGCATACTCAAAGACAAATATTTTCCTGATGGTAATGTGCTTAATGCTATAAAGGGTGCCAATGCTTCGTGGAATCGTGGGTATGGTCAAGTATCTTGGAGGGTCTGAATGTTATCAACCAGGGCGTGCAATGGCAAGTGGTTAATGGAGAAAGTGTTAGGCTATGGCATGACCACTGGATTCATCCTATTCCGGGTGCTCGGTTATCTGGTCATCCATCGGTTGTTTCAGGCCAAGACACTCGTGTCGCTACTATTATTGATCTTACTACCCGATCCTGGAATGTGGAGCCAATCAGACAGTGCATCTCTGCCCAGGAGGAAGCTGCCATCTTGGCTATCCCTCTTGGCCGCCGTGACGGTAAAGACAGGCTAATTTGGCCTCTGAATAGACAAGGGCAATACTCTGTTAGGTTGGGGTACTATTTTCTGCACCAACAGGCTAGAAGGAGCATCATGGATAGAGCCTCTGGCTCAAGGGGGGTGGATAAGAAACTCTGGAAGTTAATTTGGCATGCGAAAACCCTTCCTAAAATTCGTCACTTCATGTGGAAGGCAATGACCAACTGTCTGGCTACAAAGGCTAACTTGGCTGGAAGAAGGGTGCCATGCTCCTCAACCTTCCCTATTTGTGATGATCATCCTGAATCGGTTGAACATGCCCTCCTGACCTGTCCTTGGGTTATTGGGGTATGGTTTACTTACCCGCTGGGGTATATCGGTAGTAGGCAATAGGTAACCTCTCTTCACCAATGGTTTCTCTCCCTTTGCAACATCCCTGACCAGCCTAAAGATGAGGTTAACAGATCAATTACTATATTGTCTTTTGTTATGTGGAGTATTTGGAAGGCTCGTTGTAAGGCCGTGTTTGAGCATGTGCGTCCAAATCCTTTGGAGGTCTTACTTGGAGCTAGGGAGGCCTGGTCGGAATTTTTTCAAAATGAGGTTTGTCCAGGGAATATCAATAGAGTTGGTAGGGATGAAGGTGTGGTGAGTCCAGGTTTGACATGGTGTGCTCCTCCTAACCCATTTCTTAAGCTGAATGTGGACGCCTCTTGGCAAATAACTTCAGGTCTAGCGGGTCTGGGCATAATAATCAGGAACCATAAGGGTGAATTTAAGTTTGGAAAAGTTTTAAAGACCACAACTGGGTCTGTTGAGATTGCTGAGGCGCAGGCAATTATTGAGGGACTGTCATTTGCGCTGGAAAATGGCATCACTCGTGTGTGTGGAGTCTGACTCAAAGAAGGTTATTGAAAATTGTGCTGGGAAAATTACTAGAGGGGATTGGGGTATCTACCCTTCTTTATGTCGGATACAGGATTTGAAGTCCAAGTTTTTTGCTGTTCGTTGGACTTGGATCCCAAGAGAAGCCAATGCGGTTGCGGATGCTGCGGCGGCGATTGCTGTTGGAGGGATGGGTACGGAAGTTTGGGTCGATCAGCCCCCATCCTCCCTTGTTCATGTTCTGTCTCGTGATGGGCTTCCTTGCCCACCGTAGGCTTTGTTTTGGTGATGAAGTTCTAGACTGCTGACACCTGTTGCCATCTGCAATGTGTCTGGTCTTCTGTCCTAGCTCTATTTTTGCTGTAATTCTGGATCGGCTGAGTTCTTTTGGTTGCTTTTGGTTTTTGTCTTAGTGTAGGCTGCTGGATATCTTGGGTTATTTTGTTTACAAATTTATAAATAAACTCAATCCTAGACATGTATTTATAAAAAAATTTAAGCACTATTTAAACATAGAAACACACCCAAAATCAACTCCTAAGTCAACTTTTTGAGTGTGTTTATAAATGACTTTTTGAGTGTGTGATGATGAGTTTTGGGTGTGTTTATAAAGTATTTTGGGTGTTGAATTTTTTTATAATTTTAACCTCCATTTTGGGTGTTTTAGTGAAATACCCTATTTTTCTGCTCTGTTTCTCTCTTTGGCTGTTTGCCTAATGAAATATTCAGTTTCCAAAAAAAAAATTAACCTAATTGCTCAAAAAGAAAAAGTAAAACCTCCACATGCCATTTATGCTTAGGTCATCCCTTCTGGAACCAGTGCCATGACCATGTGAGCAGCTTGTGGCTACTACCATTGTCTAAAAGAATTTTTGTCTTATTCAACATGTATACTTTTGTTTTTACTTTACTGAGTATTCTTTTAAGTTGCTACACTTGTACTATGTGAACAAGGTAGATGACAAAATTGCTACACTTGTTTTTGACTGAATATATATTCTTCTGTTCATAATGGTTTACAAAATAGATGAACAACTTCAGTACAAATTGAAACGTTTAGAGTTTACATTGCTCAAGTTGAAAACTAAATAGGTCAGTTTGATAAATTGAAGATTACAAGTTCATATTGCTCCAAATCCAAATTAGGCATACCAACTTAAACCTTGTAGGCCTTTTTATTAACAACAATAACAGAACTAATTAGTAACTCAAACTTAATGTTGAAGATATAACACTAACCAACTTATTGTCCAGTTCATCACTTGAAGTAATGACTGAAATTAATATGCTGTCTATTTATTAAGATTACGAATCGAACAAGCTTAAATCCTACGACATTAGAGACTTAATTGTTCCAACGACTGAGAAAAGCAGGACAACGACTCCAAGTACAGTTGAACTGCTTGTCCAAAGATCCTTGAAGTAAACTCGTTTGAGGATTGCCACACTTCGGTTCACTTTACTGATCTCGTAGTGCTTATTTAGCTCTACACAGAGATCAGAATAGCAGGATTTATCCTCCTTAATCTGCTCACAGAGTGAATTAACCAGCTTCATAACTGCTTTGTTGCTGCCTAGCAAGTTAACGATAATTTGTTCCTCAACCAGCAAATCCACATCTTCCACGGTATCGACAAGTTGATCCATCAGCAAAAAGTAGCTGCAAATATAAGGCTCGCGCGGGTACAAAATCTGCTCCAAAGCCATGACATTTCGAATGACACATTCTGTATCATACTTAACGCAAAACTGTGTAAGCTTCAGCTTCATATTTCTAAAACATGGCAAGTTGAACTTACATTTGTGGGCCTCATCACTGTCTCTTTTTATGACGTACTGTACAGTACCTTCATGAAGGGGCCTGAACTTCACCCCTGCTGCCGTCAGCTTTCTTACGTCGTATTTACTTTTTACAGGGGCATCCTTCTCTTGAAATTTCATTTCTTCTGGACACAGAAAATGTCTAAGCAAATCAGTGAAATGTTTCGGTTTTACTCCATTCCCGGGGGAATTTCCCTGACTATAATCTTCAAAGAACTCACATGTAAGCTTAAGAAATGTAGGTTCAGGTTCGTCTTGTTTGCCACTCTGATCTATAGAAATAGTATGCTCACGGGGACTTGTCGAGCAGGAGCTGTACTGCTGGTTGTCCCTGCTGGATTCATTTCCTTCCACTTTTTGTTCTTGTGACTCTTTGACGGGATGCAAGCTGGGAGAGGCTGCAGGCTTGGCAAACTTATACAGTTCTTCAAGAAGAGAATAAGGAAGCTGGTTTTCGAACAGTATCAGTTCGTGCTCTACAGCTTTCCTCAACCATTCTGATCTCAAAATGTAATCATCAGAACTTTTTTCAAAGTTCAATAAAAAGAGCTGGATGATGAAGCAGGCATCAACTAAAATTACGTCCACAATGTTGTAGACAAGCTCAGTAGGCCCTGCATAACAGTGAAGAATATTCTTTTTTCTATCTCCGATGAAGCCTTTCAGTTCGTCCTTCGTATTCGTACATCGTTTACAAAAATTCTCATAATACATTTTCTTATAGGTCTCCATGTCCTTGAGTTCTGATTTTCCATGGTGCAAAGGGCCTATTGAAAGTAGTTGAGGAGTGTATGCTGCATCGTTTGTTTTGCGGAGTTTCTTGGGAACCCTGTAGATGCACCACTTGTCAGGCAGCTGGGGCTCATTGGATTCTTGTTCACTCCTTGCCCCGGTAGTGGACGTAGTTTCAACCGGCATGCTCGCCAAGGTCCTATTGAAAGAACACTAGCTGTAACAATATATACACAATTTTTTTTTTTTTTATTATTTTTTTTTTATGTAGCAGAAGAAGTGACTTTAGGATATATACATATTTTTATGGTATAGCAGAAGAAGTGACTTAAGATTAATTGCTGCTAAAAGCCGACACCATTGACACAATATATATAACAATACTCGCCATTCATTCAATTTGTTTGTTTTTTTTTTTTTTTTTTTTGGGTTGGAAAAATTGTGTTTTGTTTTGATTAGATTATTTTATCCGTACACTTAAAAGGTTGACTACTTTATTGAGCAGTAAACTTTAGGGCCTTGGTAAGCTTGTTAAGTAAAAATGAAAAAAAAAGAAGGTATTGTTCCAACTAATTGTGGTCTTGTCATTCCAACGACACCACGTTTGCACCTAAAAACGTATATACACATAAACAGTTTAAGTACATAATAGTGTGCAATTATTCCAATTTTTGATTTCCCCACGTTTACTAATACATAAGAAATTATATGTGGGACACACATAACAACCTCCTATGGCACAACCGATGCACAAGACCGGAGGAAATTAGCACAGCGATTCAGCTTAAGGATTTTTAAAAAGCCCAAGAAAGTTCGGAGAAGAAAACCACAAGCACTAAGTCAATCGCCCCTCCACGTTGGCAACGGCCGCCGCAAGGCTTGCTCAAAGCCAATGTTGACGGAGCATGGAGGGCAGATAGTACCAAGGGAGTGGTCAGAGTAGTTGTGCCAGATTGCAGCGATTTTTTCATAGCTCGCTGTGCCTTGAAGGTCGACAATGTTTTTTCTACTATACAGGCAGAATCCATTGTTGTAATAACCCAATACTAAATTAATATTTAATTAATAAAATATTCAATAAAATATTCAAGTCAAAGATAATTTTATCCTGAGAATATTTTAATGGGTTTAAAGTTGACTTTTTGTTCCGGAAAGAATTTGAGGATTTGGGTGGTACCATTGCGTAGAGCTCAACGATACGAGTTCGTAGACATGAAGCATGCCCAATTCCGAGTTGTAACGAATGAGGAAAGATCTAGAAACGAAAGGGACATAACTGGAATTTTGTAGTTTGTACTGTAGCTACAGTACCCCCGCTACTGTACCGGCCCTTATTTCTTATTCTCACTCTCTATCTCTCTCCACCGCACACACTCACTTTCAATTGGCGATTTCGTCGCCATCCGGTGGTCCATTCGAGTGAAATTTGTTGCAAAAGTTTCGTATCGATGCCCTCTACCTGACCCATTTGTTTTCCAGCTAAAAAAACCCAATGATTTGCGTCTAGAACAACTGGAAGTGTTGGTGATTTTCAAATTTTCCGACGCTGTTTCCGGCAACTCCGGCCACTGTTTCCCTTGAGTGAGGTATGAAACTTCATCTACTCTTTGTGCTATATCCATTTATGTAGGTATTATGGGTCGATTTTGAAGTTTTACAAATTGTTCAATATACCCATATTATGCTGACGGTTTCGGTTAGTTCCAGTTAGTTTTTGGCCATGATCTAAGAACAAAAATCACTTCCCTTGATAGTTTGAACATATTGGTATAGGTATTGTAGGGTGTTTGGAAAATTTTCCGGTCACCGGAATTTTCCTAGACACCCACACGCTGGCGGCACATGTGGCGGCTGGTGGGCACTGTCTGAGTGTCCCTCTTGGTTCTAAAATGATCCCCATGTTGTCCCGAGCATGATGGCATGCTTGGATTTGAAATTGGTTATCTTTTAACTGTCTATCGGACATCGCATATTAGGGGTATCTGGGTTCGATATGTTCGGACCGTTGGATCGACTGCATTTTTAAATATGTGGATCTAGACTCTTTTAGGATCGTATAGGAATTTGCGGATTGAGAATCGGAGTCCCATATACTCCGATTCAATAATTCAAAATAAATAAATGATAACTGTCTGATCGTGCGATCGTGAGTGATCCAACCGTTCGATTCAGACCAAACTTGCAGAACAGGTATATTAAACCTTGTTGAACCCATAGGAACTTTCGGATTGGAAATCGGAGGTCCTGGGCCTCACGAGCCCGATCGACCCAATATAGAAGTTTGACCCTTGGTTGACCATGAGACTTCCGAGGTAGTTTTACCCTTCGAGAAATGCTAGAATGACCGTGTAAATGAGGCTTGACTGTCTGTGAACTATTTTGATTACGTTTGGATCATGAGTTTATGTTATAGTATTTTATGGTTTTCCTGAGTGTTATTTTGAGATTCGAAGGTTATTTTGCTATTTATTAATTTATTAATGTTATTGTGATTATTATTAAAAAAGTACTTGACTGAGTGTTATTAGATGATTTAATGCATATGAGTTACTATGTAATTGTTTTTACTCTCTAAGGACCAAAGAATAAAATATCAATAATTTCGCCGATATTTCGGCGAAATTATCATTTTTTAGGGGCAGCGATATTTTAGTAGGTTTCCATTTATTTATCATCAATTATCGATAATTTCCTCGATAATTTCGATACCGATATTTTCGTTCAAATGGCAGCTGCAAACGGTCAACATATCGCGATATTATCGATAATATTTCGATATGAACTTTCAAAAATGAAATAATTCGCTTGATCGTCGCATCACAGCTTCCAACTTCTAACTGATATTTTTAGAAACATCAATGGAACTAATCGATGAGTCCATACAAGGAAAACCAGATATGAAGTTATGAACCTTAAAAGATAATAAATAAAAAAATATCTAGCAAAACATATCTGAACCTCAACTGAGCTTTAAATTTGCATGAAAAATCAGATTCCATATCCAAACAATAAAAAAAATCAGATTCAAGAACATAACCCAAGATATTCAAGAACCCAGATTTGCAAAGAAAGAGATATAGAGGGAGAGATAGAAACATAGAACCGGAGCAAAAAAAATCAGAGTACTAGAAAATCAGAGAAAGAGAGGAAGAAAAAAGAAAAGAGAAAGAATAAGAGAGAAAAAGAAAACGAAGAAGAAATGAGAGGAGAGAAAGAAATGGGAGGAAAGAGAGCTTAGAGCTCCAAAA